AATAGCATTTCTGTGGTTCAAAAAAATAACAATTTTAAAAAATAATAAAAATTCAAAAATTCGATTCCCTCATATTAATTCAAAAATAATAATAATAATAATATAACAAATATTAGTTATTTGATGACTCTGAATACAAATTTACAAAAATATTTGATAGTTTTTTTTCAATTTGAATAGATAATCATTCAAGCTTGGGAAAAGATTCATTTCTTATTTTATTTGATATAATAAATATTTGATTATTTAAAAAAATAATCTAGTCATTTCTTTAACTATAGTATTTAAATGTAGAGTTCAAAATATATTTTTTATATTTTACTTAAGATTAATATGGAAAATAGATAAAATACAAACTAACTTCATTTATGCATGTCCTATACAAATACAAATTTTTTAGAGGTTAAGAAACTATTTTTTTCGGGAAGGAAATCTTATTTATTCATTGATAGTTTTATTATAAATGAAGTGAAAAAAAATTTAAAGTTATATTATTTAAATAAATATAATTAAATTAATTTTATTTAAAAGTGTCACAAAGAAATACAAAGTATAAAATTTATTCACGGGTGAGGAGATTTTTTTATAATTAAATGTTTTTTCTATTTTAGTCTAGTAATATATTGACTTTTAAAGTTCTTAAAGTAGTTATTGAAATTGTATTTTTTTAATGTTACATAATTAATAAAATAAATAGAATAAAAACTAAATTCATTTAAACATAAAATAAAGAAATACTCGTATTAAAGTTATTTAAATGTAAAAAATCATATTATTTATTAATTAAATGTTTTTTTAGTGAAGAGAGTAAAAAATTGTATTGAAATTATATATAGTATTTTGTTCTATTATAACTAAATTACAGTATAGTCTTATTTTTTATAAATAGTTTAATGTATTTTTTAAAATATTTTATTTTTTTTAAATTTTTACATCAATATTGCAATAATTATAATCAAAACTTCATTTTTATTATAATAATTAGAACAAAAACTAATTTAATCATAAGATATCACAAAAAGTACTCATATGTCAATGATTTTGAGATAAAAATGTAACTTATTTATTAATTTTTTTTTAGGGAATTGAAAGTTCTATTATAAATGAAGATAGAAAAAGTTATTAAATTATTAAATAATATTATCTTAAAATTATCTTGTTTATAAGTTAAAAGATATTTTTATAAATGAAAGGATTAAAAAATACTATATTAAATTGGAAAGAAAATTATCATAAAAATAAATGTTTCTTTTCCATAATTAAGCTTATTCAATGAATTCGTACCAAAACATTGAATTTGCATTTTATATATCTTAAATTAGGTGACATATTAGGTCTCAAAACAAATTTAAAATTTATTAATAGGTGAAGAAAACATTTTATTTAATACTCCCTCCGTTCTCAAAAACTCTTCCTCTTTCATTTTTTTAGAGTAAATTCCATAATTAGTCCCTTATAACAGGGGGGTTTCCCTATTTAGTCATCTATTATCAAATATTACCCCAGTAGTTCTTCTTTTATAGGTATCTTTCCACAAATACTTCTTTTTTATCTTCTATCATGTTGATGTTAATTTGAGGGCTAAAAGTGTAATTTAACAATGATAATATATCTTTTTTGTCATACACAATTCCTAAGGATGTTCCATTTGCATCGTTTGTGAATTACAGTCGCTTTCTACTACAAACATAGTCTATAAATATGGTCTTTCGTCGGAATCCTAGCCCACAATCATAGTTATTATTTTTGTGTTATCCTTTTAACCAATATCAGAACACGTCACTAGACATAACGTTGATATCAAATTATACTTTTAGCCTTTAAATTAACACCAACATTACAGAAGATCAAATAGGCCATTTGTGGAAAGGCACCCTTAAAAAAAGGACTACGGGGGTAATATTTGATAATATAGAACTAGATATGGAAACCCCCCTGTTATAAAGGACCAAATATGGAATTTACTTTTTTTTTACTTCCAACAAAACACTTCCACTTTCTATTAAAAAACTACTTTTACCCTTACTTTTTCATACCTTACCTATCACATCATACTTTTTCTCTAATACTCAATCTATCACATCTTACTTTTACCCATCACATCAAGGGCAAAATTGGAAGTCAACTACAATTTAACACTTTCTTATTTTTACACAAAGTCAAAGTAGGAACACTTTTATAGAACGGAGGGAGTAAGTATTAATATTTATATAAATATAATCAAACTAATATAATGTAAACGTATAATGAAAAAATATATAGTTTATGTATAGGAAAGGAGTGTATTTTAATTATTATTATAAAGGTTTTTTGTATATTTTATGATTTACGAAATCCGAGACACGCATTAAAAATATTTTTACGTAGAGTTGTGAGAACATAATATTTTATCAAAAATAATAAATTTTAGGGAAAAAGATTTTAATTCTAAATTTCTAGCTATGAGTTCAGAATAAGTTGTTATCATTCTTGGAGAAGAGTAAAAAAAAGTAAAATAGTTGAAGAGTAAAATTGGTTATATTGCCACTTAATATGCCAAATGTGAAGTTCTTAAGATACCACATGTCAAGTTGTTAATTTGCCACATTTCAAGTTCTTAAGAATTGAACTCTCAAATTTATATATAAATGATTAATAATGTTGAAGCCTCCTTGGAATTAAGTAAGTTTTTGGCATTTCTTGCTTGTAATTTGTAATTGGAAAGGTCGCAATTGTTACACTTAACAGTACAATAATCAAAGCTAAACATACCACTACTAAACCAACTATCTCAATTAAAAATTTAAATTTATGATTGTAGGATGAGGAAAGTTTTTATACTCTAACACATCTCCTCACATACAGACGAGAATTCTGTGTTCAAGCTTTACACGAAAACATTAACTTTATTAAAATTTGATGTCAGTGAGATTTAAATGCGTAATCTCTTGATCAACAAGACTCAAATACCATGTCAAGGACCAAAACCAACCTAATGCTCAAACTTATAGTTGTATAAACAGAAGTGATTTTTATAATCTAACATTGTCCTAGCATAACCCTAATGATTTAAAGTTATCATGACCTCATTCTTTGCATAGTAATTATCGGTGCAATATTTACAATCATTGTTTGCCTATGTATGTGCAAAACACGAAGTCTTGGTAGGGTGAATTCCCTGCCGGTGTAAAAAGGATGGAGAGCATTCCTTTATATGCTCTTTCAATTCGTTTTTTCCCAAATAAAACCAATTTTCTTCTTTTTTTTGATTAAGCTACTCCGCTTTCTTCTTTTTTTTGATAACTTTATTAATCATTAAATGGTTCCACCTTCCCTTTTTTGTTCCAATTTTTTTCCTTTAAACCTTTCCAATTTTTTTTATAAAAATATTTTTTATAAAATTTTTAATTTTTAATAAAAAAATCTAAAATAAAATTTTTATTTATTGACTTTAAGTGAACTTTATGCAACAAAATTAAATAAAAGAAGAAGAAAAATACAAGAAATTTATTGATAGAGTACATATAATTAATTCATAAAAATAAGATTACAAAACACAATCCATGACTAACTTATTTTGTAAATTTAATAAAACATAAACTCAGACATAACTGAAATCCATGACATAGTTATTCCTCGTTGCGACATCTCCGTGGTCGATAGTCCATGTTATTCGGATAGCGGGTTCTCGTAGGGCAGCCAGTTCATGTCCTCTGTCGCGGTGTTGGTCTCACTATCTTGTACTCTGGAGTAGACCATTCAGCCTCATCTGAAAGCGGCATTATGATGCTATAGTAAGCGTTGATTTAGGACTGAATTCAAAAAACATTCGGAATCAAATGATCCACGGTGACACTACAGTAATAACATACTGCGTGGACATGACTGCACGGGATGTGAAATGTTACCCATTGACCTTAGCTACATGTTTGTGCATTTAAGTTCACCATAAATGTCTCCCGTCGAGCAATTTTGGACGACCCATCCACCACCACAGAGTATATCCCTTGTTGTGCGTGGTGCTGCACAACATGACAGTAAAGAATATTTTCTTCATTTTTCGTAATATGTTTCCAGACATTCATAACAAAATTGTACCTGGATTACTGTCATACATATCCATTTGTTTGCCTCTCAACAAAAACTTTGACCAATTTATCATAGGTGAACTTCACAATGGCATAGACGGGCAAACAACGACATCCCTTGAGGATATTATTGAAGCTTTCTAACGAATTTGTAGTCATTAGGGGTGGGCACGGTCTGTGATGGTCCGTGATACTGCCGGAACCTATCACGGACCGCTCGTATTTAAACGGTTCGGTATCGGTACGGGATGAACTACAAAACCATTCGGTATCATTCCGTTTTGAAACGGAACGGTACAATACCATACTCATGCTCAAACCGTGCCAAAAAAATGTACATTACTTAAAAAATATTGAATTTAATGTATACGTTTGTATAAAAAAGCACAAGTTTGTTAAATAAAAGTATTAATTTCAAATTTAAACGGATCATAAACATAAAGAATAAAAGATAACGAGTCCAAAGTTAAAAAATAATTTTTTCCCCAATTCATATAATATTGGAATACTAATAACTATAAAAAAAATAATGCTAATAGTAATGATAAATATAATAACAACAATAATAATGAGAGAGTCTAAAAATGAATAATAAAATACGAAGTATTCTATATGCGGTAAAATGAAGTAGACAAATACTCCATAATTATTTAAGATGCGCACTCCGTATATAGCGTTGGATGGTTCGGTCCGTGATAATCGGTTTTAAATATATGCATCACGGTCCCGTCCCATTTGGTAACAGTTCGGTTTCGGTTCGTGATGAAAAAAATTAATCCCATTTGAAAACACTAAAAACGGTTCAGTACCATTACGGTCCGATATGGTACCATGTTAGTTCGGTTTTTGCCCACCCCTAGTGGTCATTATACCATAACGTGCGCCACTTTCATCATGTGATAATGCCCAAATGTGTTTTGGAATAGCATTAAGCCACTGTAAGCTTCTTGATTTTTGGACGTTATTTGGAGAAGCAATTGGTCAAACTCGCTTCTGCTCGGGGCCTCGCCAGCTTTGTATATCAAGGATAATCATGTGGGTAATCAAGGATAGAAACATGTCCAAGAGCACATATACACTCCCCTAACAAGTCATGAACTCGCACTATCTCGTGAGAAGGTACAAAACCATCCGGATGCCTACCTGGATCAAGGCGCTGGTAGCAATCCGCCATACAATATAGCTACACACAATACTATGATTAGTCCCATACAAATTTATGACAAAAAATTAAATATAATTAATACGTACTGCGGCATGTAGCTCGGAAGAAATGGAGACGTAGCATATTCTGTACTGATGTGTGAGGTTTGCTATCTGTCTTCGACCACGAAGGTAATACCACTGACGATACTCAGGTGTGGCATCCACCATCCCAAATTCCATTGGCACATGTGCAGCGTAACGTCCCTCCCATACATCTAAATGTTGTCTCTCGCTGTCACCAATCTCCATAGTGTTTGACTTAATGTTATGTAGGTGTCTATCATACACAACATCTTGAAGAACCCATTGGCGGGCACCAAACTGTCTGCAAAACCAATCTAGATAATACATCTCCACAACATAGCCATAGACCAAAGGGATGTGTGATATCCATAGTTGGAATCCAACTGAACAAAAGGGTGGTAGGGTTTCAAGATTTGGATACGACATCTAAACAAATTACATACATAAACAAGTAATACGATAGACATTTAAAATAAAATATGTAAGCAAAACACTGTGATGTTATTAGTACTTACATCTCCCTCGAGCAACCTATCTAACTGGTCCCTGTATGCTTGTGAGGAGTGTGTCGTAGAATCTGTCCACCAATGATAACACACACATCTACAAGTGGATGATTAAACATTAACATGAATAAAATAAACTAAGTGAATCCATGATAGGCATAAAGAAATTGTAAATACCTGACTGCGTATGGGACATTAACCAGCTGCTCCAATGGTACAACGCTCCTAGGTCTAGTCATAGGCAGACGTTCACATACCCAAAGCTGTAACGGAATAAGACACCCTCCGATCTGTGCTGCATGTGTCATACTAGCACAACACATAGTACGATACAAGAAACTAAGAACTGCAGAACCAATGGCACGACCCGACACTAGGTTTGTGTCACAATTGCAGACATCTTAATCATAGAAGAGGTAATATCAGATGCTTTAGGTCTAAATCCTATCATGTCGTCATATATCTAAATCCACTGATCCTTTGATCGACCAGTGATCCCCGTCAATGAAATGCCATCTACGGGCAATCCAAGCAAAACATCAACATCTTCCAAAGTAATTCCCACCTCTCCAAAGGGAAGATGGAATGAATGGGTCTCGGTCTCCATCTCTCAACTAAAGAAATAATCAAAGCCCAATCCAACTGTAATCCACCAACTTTCTCCACCCCATAGAATTCATAATCTTGTAAAATCTATATTACACGAGGTGGTCTATTAGCAACAAGAGTTTTCGTATATAAACTACAACAAGTCCTATGACACTTTAAGATCACTTTAGCATATTTTTCGCTCGCCCATACCGCATCACACCTATGCTCTCTGGGTGCAAGAACTAAAACATCTCGTGAAATAGGTCCATGATGAACATCCATTTGCTTCAAAGATTACAACATAACAATTTATTCATTTAATAAATTCAAAACAAGACAATTATAAAAAAACTCATAAAGTAACTAATTATGTTAAAAATTATCTTACAACCTCAAAATAAAAAAATCCCAAATTTTCATCAATATTTTAAGAAATATTAAATCTATTATAAGAATTGATTTCAAAATCTTTGAATGTAGAGAACAATTAGAATAAAAAATTTTATGAACTAGGTATAGATCCTATATAATTTATGAGAAAATAGATTTATGAATCTCAAATTTTCATAAATAAGTATATATATCTCAATATTTTCATAAAATGATAAATGTTTATATAAATTAAGTCAAAAACAGAAAATACCTCGATGAAACGGAGTAGCGTAGTCCAATCATGTTCGGCGGTCTTCCTCCGATGGTCTTCCCCCGATCTTCCTCTGGTGGTCTCTCTTCCTATGGTTTCTTTTTCTTTTTTGTTTTATTTCCACGTGAGATGGATGGATAATGAGTGGATGTGGGGCGTTGCACAAAAGAGAGATGGGTTTTAATGGAGACGGAACCTGAACGGAGTAGCTAACTCCGTATGGGTTTAATTAAAAATAAAAAAGCCTGACACAGAGTAGCGAACTCCGTTTAAATAAATAATTCAAGGAGAAACGGATTAAGCAACTCTCTATGGCACTGCTAGAAAAATTTTGTTTGACTTACCCTACCAGGAATGCAATATTTTTTTTTAGTCGTTCACACAGTCTTGGTAACCCCAAAAGTTAAGATTGCCCTAGCTGTATCTCTAGAAATACTCAAGTTCATACTTATTTTTTGAATGTCTCAAATATATGGAGTAATTTACACTCCTTATATATATAAATGAAATGAATAATTATTTTTGTCTTTTAGAGTCCCAACTACTAGTATGTATTTCAATCACACATCTTTCAACAAGTATTTTTTTTTCCTTTTAATGTAGGGAGTATATATAAATTTTTTAAAATTTTAAAATTAAAGGATGATATCATTTAGGAACAGATGGAGCATAAGACATACTATATGCATTCATTGATTTTAGGGAAGTTTTTACGTCTACATTCATTTTATGAATCTTAGTCATACCTATCAGATTTTTAACTTGGTAAGTTGAGTTGAGAATTATATAAGTGAGTCTAAATTTAAAAAACTTCTCTAGAGACTTTCTTCATTTTATATCTATTCTCTCAAAACTCCAATAGGGATAGTTAAAGAAAGGGAAAATCCAAGAGGAAAATGGTAGAGCTCAATAGGGGAGGGGGCAGGTCTGGTATTTTGTTGGGTTGGGTAATTGGGTTGGGCTACCCCAAAATGGAGTGTTATCTTACTGCTGTCTTTGTGCATTTGACTTTGTGCTAATTAATGAATGAATGAATAATAGGCTTCCTGTGTCTGATACCAATTCACACTTTTGCAATTGGACTGACCACACACAATGTCAGATGGATCTCTTCAAAAGGAAAAATGCAGAGGGTACACTAAAGAGTACCCCAAATATTTCCCACCACCTCTTTGTCCACTAAAAAAAGTAAATAAATTCAAAAAGAATAAGTAAATGAAAATCAAATAAAAATGTGTGGAAGAAAATAGGGTGGTGTACATTTGGGGTACACCTTTTGGTGTACCCCTAGCATTACTCCTTCAAAACTACTCCATCCCTCCCCAATTTTGAAAATATTTGATATAAATCTAATAAAATTATTTTTGTATCAACATCTAATATCAGTTTTGTTTAATTTGAGGTCAAAGTTTACCAATTTTGATCGAAAAAAGTCAAAAATGGACAAATACTCGGAGAAGAAGGGAGTACAAAACAAGAGGTGACAAGAATATTTTACTTTATAAAATACTTAATGAAATCATATAAACAAACAAATATTATCGAAAACAGAGAGAAAAAAATTGTAATCTAATTGGGGACGGAGGCAGTATATTACACAGTTGGCAAGAACTTTAACACTATGTTTGGTTCAAAGAATTTGATATGAAAAGGAAAAAAAAAATTTCATTGTTTGGTTAGAGAAGAAAAGAAAAGTGGAAGAATAAAAATTCAGAAGGCAATAAGTACTAAGGGAAGAGAAAACCAAATTCCTCTCATTCTTGTGAGAAAAGAAATATTTACACTAAATAGCATTAACACTTAAGTCATTTCTCTAAATAACAATTAAATTGTTTTATTTCCTAAATAACATTTAATAATGTCCATAATGTCCTGTGATCAAAATTTAATTTATTTCTCCTCCCAATTTATTTTTTAACTATGCCAGTTTCTTCTGCCGCCAATCTTGTCAATGCTCTCACGGAAAGCTTGTAAAGACTAAGAGCATCTCCAATGGATGCCCACAATAGATGCTAGGAGGAGAGAGTGAGATGTTGATGGGTGTTATTATTGTAGGTGGATGCCCATTAGAGATGTGCAAGGAGGAAAAAGAAAGGGGGATGCTTCACATAGCACCGATGCTTGAGGGGAAAGGATTTAATGCATTTATTTCTTTAGTTTTGTGGTCCAATGATTATGTGCCATGTGTCACATATATATACTCAATTCTTTTTTATGGCAATTTTCTTAAATGGCTCTCTTTTTTAATACTTTTTCAACAAATATTTTTTTGAAATACCAATAAATATTTTAAGCAAATATTTTCTCTACAAATAGTTTCAAATTAGGATTTTTTTTCTTAAAAAAATGGATTTGCATCCAAATAGTTATTCATGTAAGGGAGAACCTATCCAGCCTGCTTTTTTATGTGATTTTCTTAGTTGTTTTGTATTCTTGATCGCAATAGGTTTTAAGGAAAACTTCTTCATTGAGTTACTATTTTTTTTAATAAACATTTTTTTAATAAAGATTTATGGAATTATTTCTATCAACCAGAACACCACCACCACTCCCAACTAGTTGCAATTGAGGTGACAACAAGCTAGTTTTAAAATACAAAGAGTAGTTTTTTTCAATATAACATTGTGATGTTTTATTTTCAAGTTTCGTATAATTAATACTTCGTAATTTATTATAAAACTAAAAACTTATAATTAACAAAAAATAAAATTTAAATACCCCTCCGTTCTGAAATTAACTTCTCATTTGCTTTTTCACGGTCTCCAATGCAATACTTTGACCATCAATATCTCAATTTTTATATAAATATATTGGATAAAAATTATATATTTCAAAACTATATTTCAAAAAAAAATCTATTGTTAATAAATTTATATGAAAACTCAATGTATTTTTTTCGTAATATACGGTCAAAGTTTAAAAACTATGACTGCAAAAGTCAAACTGAGAAATTAATTTTAGGACAGAGGAAGTATATTTTAGTGGACCCATTATATTAATGGAATAGATATTTAGGCATCCAAATGAGATGCTAACATTGAAAGAATGAAATGTTGAGAGAAATGCTAGAATGTCATTTTTACTGTAGGGGGAATTTACTTAAATAGCACTAAAACATAATGACTTCCTTAATTAGTACCATATGTATTTTTCTTCCTAATGTAGCACTTTTAGTCATTATACATTAGTCATTATTCAAGTAAATATTCGCCATCATTGGACATTATGGACATTATTAAGTACTATTTAGGTAACAAAATAATTTAAGTGCTATTTAAAGAAATGACTTAAATTTTAATACTATTTAGTATAAATATTTCTTATTGTAGAGCCCACTTGGGCATCCAATAAGAGATCTTGCCAATATGATGCTCTAAGAGATCTCGGCCAACGTAAAGTTTTTATGTGCACATAGCCGCCAAGACATATCCCATGATCGGTGACGGGACGGCGGCGGCGAATGTGAGCAACAACCACCACCCTGCAATCTTTCTACCTTCATCTTCCACCGCGTCTCACTCCCACCATCATCACCTTCTCTCTTCTGTCCCTTCCGACGCCACCTGCAAGATGGCCAGAAAGCGTGCCGCCTCAGAGATGGAGCTCCAGACCGGTGCCGGAGTAGCCGAGCACAACAGGTTCCTCCGGCGTGCTGCGGCGGCCATGAACGTCCCTGTCCCCGGCGATTTAAGGGTTCCCCCGAATAGTTTCAGGGAAGAGGATAGTGTCCCTGTCCCCGTCGTCAGCTACTCCGCCGCTATGCAGCAACCGCCGCCGCCAATGGCCTCCTCTCTTTCAGGAATGCCGATGACGTCAGGGTGTGAGGCCACACATTTGGGTTTCTTGGAGCCGTTACCACCCAATGAAATCCCGAACGAGCCTCCTCCTTTTCCCATGTGTGTTTTCTCCGGTTTGCCCCTCTTCCCCGCCCAGACTCTGACCCGAAACGTCTCCTCCGCCGTACAACCGCCGCCTGTGATGGGGAGCTACGGCGGTTCCGGCGACGGCCCGATGGCGTGGATCGACGGCATCATTAAGGATCTAATCCACAGCTCAACGCAGGTGTCGATTCCTCAGCTGATACAGAACGTGAGAGAGATCATTCACCCGTGTAACCCTAACCTCGCCGCCCTCCTCGAGTACCGCCTCCGCTCCCTCGCCGATCCTCTCGCCGCCCTCCTCGAGTCCCGCCACCAGCAGGGCCATTATCAACCACTTCAGGTACCGGAACCCATGTGGGAGGCGACTCTGCCACCTCCGCCCGCCGTCCCTGCACCAGCTCCGAGGCACCCCGATCCCCACCCGCCGCCGCCGCCGCAACCGCAGCTCATGCCGGACAGCTCCCCCAACCTGCCGCCGCCATATGCTCCGTCTGGCCCTCCGAATTCCATCATGAAGCGCCAAGAGCCGCAAAAACCAAAACAGGGAAAGCCGGCTCCGGAAAATACAGATCACCACGAAAAGAAACAGGAATCCGAGTCTCCGGCGGCGGGAGAGAAAAACAAAGCGGCGGCGGCGGCGTTGGTCAGGAGATCAGAGATGGAGCAGCAGAGGAAAGACGAAGAAGGGCTCCACCTACTAACCCTCCTCCTACAGTGCGCGGAGGCCGTGGCCGCCGACAAGACAGAGGAAGCGAACGAAATGCTTCTCCAAGTGTCGGAACTCTCCACCCCATTCGGGACATCGGCCCAGCGAGTGGCGGCTTACTTCTCGGAAGCCATGTCCGCCAGGCTGGTGAACTCCTCCCTGGGAATCTTCGCGGCGGCGCCGATCAGCTCGCTGCCGCAGAGCCTGACCCAGAAAATGGGCGCCGCCTTCCAGGTCTTCAACGGGATCAGCCCCTTCGTGAAATTCTCCCACTTCACGGCAAACCAAGCAATCCAAGAAGCGTTCGAGAGAGAGGAGAGGGTCCACATAATCGACCTGGACATAATGCAGGGGCTGCAATGGCCGGGCCTGTTCCACATCCTGGCATCCCGGCCGGCCGGGCCGCCGCTGGTGCGGCTGACGGGGCTGGGGACGTCGATGGAGGCGCTGGAGGCGACCGGGAAACGGTTGTCGGAGTTCGCGCAGAAACTGGGTTTGCCGTTTGAGTTCTACCCGGTGGCGGAGAAGGTCGGGAACTTGGATCCGGAGAGGCTGAATGTCGGGGCGGGGAAGCAGAGGGGGGAGGCGGTCGCCGTTCACTGGTTGCAGCATTCTCTGTATGACGTCACCGGCTCGGACGCCAATACCCTCTGGCTCTTGCAAAGGTACATCGCTTTCCGATTTTGACCTCTCACTTTTTTTTTATCTGATCTCCATGCCTCAAAATTTTCGAGCTTTTATATATCTTGGGTTACTATCCAATTTGAATTTGTTCACATTAAATTGTCTAACCATTACAAAAAAGGGTGGATTTTGGAAGTTTTTCTTCTTGAAACATACCATTTCTAGCCCTTACACTAACTTTAAACTCAAAAATTCATTACAAACCCAAAATATATTAATTCTCTCTCTAGGGATAGCAACGGATCGAGTTCTGGTCCGATCGTACTATACCGAACCCGACTTTTGAAATCAAAATCCGACTTTTAAACCAAAACCCGACCTGACTTGAACCCGACATTTAAACTCGAAACCTAAACCCAAACCCCGAATTTCTATAATTTAACCAATAACAAATTTGACGTAACTCAAAAATTTTAAAAAGAATGAATCGAAATTTTTTTGTGTCTTTGCTTCGTATCTCGTTTTTTAATTGAGGAATTATAAAAATAATTATAAAAAAGATATTTGGTATGGTAGCACTTTGTTGCGTGGCTAGAAATGCGAACAAGACAGTAGACTAATCCGAGACTCAAAGAAGGAATAGCCCGACCCGATGTCGGGTTCGGGAAAAGATTTTGGGTAGGGTTCGGATTATTTTATTCTCAGTTCGGATTCAAATATTTTAGTGTTCGGTCGGGTCGGTTAAGATCTGGTTCAGATTGAATTGTCATCCGATCCCTATAATCATGTCTAACAATTTACTCCAAATCCAATCTCAAAAAAATATTTTACACTCTTTTTCACTCTTTTTGAGAAACTTTATTCCATTACCATGATAGAATATAAAATAATTATATTATTTAAGAAATAATGCAATACATGAAAGAATATATATATATATATATATATATATATATATATATATATATATATATATATATATATATATATATATATATATATATATATATATATATATATATAGAGGCCATTATAACTCAACTAAGAATATGAATCATTGAAAAAGTTGACTAAACTAGAAAGACTATCATAATTAATACTACCATAATTATTATTATTGTCTAACAATTTGCAATTTCAGATAATCATAAACTCATCATTTCTTGTGAAATTATGTTACTCCCTCCGTTTTCAAAAATTCTTCCTCTTTCATTTTTTTTACTTCCAACAAAACACTTCCACTTTCTTTTAAAAAACCACTTTTACCCTTACTTTTTCATACCCTACCTATCACATCATACTTTTTCTCTAATACTCAATCCATCACATCTTACTTTTATCCATCACATCAAGAACAAAATTGGAAATCAACTACAATTTAACACTTTCTTATTTTTACACAAAGTCAAAATAGGAACACTTTTAAAAAACGGAGGGAGTATTAATTAACTTGAGTTTTCTAGTCTCAAAGAGGTTCATATCATTTCTCATGTTAACTTCAAGGATAACCATTTTTTTGGGGTACTATCTTAGCTATCCACTTCGGTCAAAACATGTTGTGCCTTACTCTTTTACTCTGTAATTGTTTTTGGGATACTTTTAGGGCTAGGGTCAAAGCATGCTAATTTTGGGATAAAACAAGTACGCACTTCCTTTTGGTCATTTCCCCCCTGGGTTCTCTTTGGATGGAAAGTATTTCCTCTTTTCCTTAATGTGACAATTTGCAATTCTTTCATCTTTGAAAAAAGTTTAGGAATAAAAATGTGAAGAATAACAAAATGTGTTGGGTAAAAACTAAAAAGTGTCACCACTCACCAACCTTTCACCATTAATAAATACGGAGTATAGTTTTATATGAATAAAACTATTTTATAAGACTGAGAGGGTCACTACATCTATATCATAGGTAAAAAGGATCATAGGCAAAAAGGAACTCTTTTCATTTTTATCATAATTTAGTTTTCTTACCTATATATTCCCTCCGTCTTTTCTGTTTACTATTGCGGCCTCTCGATAACTCTTGATATAATAAAATATTGTCACCTCTTATTTTATAGAGTTTTGGTGTAGTTTTTAAATATAATTTTTTATTTTTTATTTTCTTACCAATTTGCAAATAAAATCATATTAAAATTCATGAGGTTTTGCACGTTAATCAAAATAAGAAAATTTTTTTGAGACGGAAGGAGTATTAAGGTTTTTTTCCTTAGATAGTACTTAGTACTTTTTGTTCAGGTGAATTTTGTATTTTTACACATTTATTTGAATGTCAAAAAAGCTTAGGGACATCACTTCTTAGTTTCTTTTTTCTTTGTTTTTCTTTTTCATAAAGTTTTTTTTCAAATCCTCATACAAGTGTTTTTTCAAAAAATGAATTTTTTGTTCGATATAAAAAATTAATGTACTTAAAATCACTACAGTAAAAACAAAATATTCCGTAAGAAAAAACATTCTTAAACGGTCATTAACAGAATAGTAGACGCAATGTCACTTTCTATCTTTACAACAAAATATAATGATCCCTAATACCTTTTTGAAAATACAAGAACTTGTGAGTTATTTCAACGAAATTCGCGTGACTCGAAAATAATATTTTTTGTAATTAATTTGGGTAGTGGAGAATTACTACAAGAGTATAACGAATGCAAGAAATGGAAGCGTGTAAATTAATTGCTGCACCATCACGGGTCATCGTTGAGGTTACATTGTTGCAGTCGAGTAAATTAATTAAATGTGTTGCCAGCCAGCCACAGCTACGGACGAATAGGGCTCTATAGGTAGAGAGGTACCACCGCACCATTCCCCATGCATGCTCCTTCCCTTCCAAATTCATTTTCCCATTTTGACTTTGCGTAATTTAAAAAAAAATGCGGAATATAAAAAATAAAAAGTACATGGTTTAAATATATTTAAAAGAAAGAATAAATTATTTAAAATAATTTCACATTTTCAGTATCTTTTAAAAATATTCTCACATTTTCTATATTACGTGAAATATTTCCAACTACTTTGTATTATATTTCATAATGTTAACATTTTTCTCAAAATGTTACTCCCTCTATCCTTAAATCTTCTTCTCTTTTAACGGTCTTCAGTGTTGTACTTTGACCATTAATAAAAATACTTAATTACTTCTACATAAATATATATATTTTTGAAAAATTTGATATTTGAAAATTACATTTCAATAAAAATATATTGATATTAAATTTATATCATAATATAATTTTTTTTTCACATAATCAAAGTTTAAAGACTTTTTTTAGGAAAAATTAAACGAGAAAAACATTTTCAAGACGGAAAGAGTACATATTTTGAGTCACTCTTAGACACTTAGGCCTAGAGCTGGCAAATCGGTCGGTCAGGTCGAGTTCGGCCACTTCGAGTTCGGGTTATTTCAGTTTCGGGTCAATTCGGGTTTGGGTTGAGAATTGTATGTTCATGACCCAGTGTCATCTGGGTTCGGGTCGACCCAATGAGTTATGACTTTGATTTTTTAAATTTTTAAATTAACATTAACACTTATATTTTATATTAAATAAATCAAAATAAATGTATTAAATATATTAGATTATTTTATTTTAAATTTTGAAGTAATTTTTAGATATATAAATCAATATAAAAAAATTAAAAAATGCTTAAGTTTTGGAAAAAAGTAAGATAATTATGCAATATCATTCAGATTTTGTATGAAAATATAAATTTATACACTAAAAATGAGTAGTAAAGTGTATGATTTTAAAAAGTCCTATTTTAGGGCATCGGTCAGGTCGGGTTCGGGTTTGGTCGGGTTTGACCCATTTTTAGCGGGTCATTTCGAGTTCGGTCAACTTCGGGTTCGGTCATCAAAATTCCTTGTTCAAAACCCAGTATTTTCTGATCGGGTTTCGAGTAAAAAACAAGTTGGTCATTTTTGTCAGGTCTACTTACCTCAAATGATGTGGTTTATGGGACGGGAAGAGAAGGGAGAGAATGAGGAGAAGGGTGTGTGTGGAGGCAGTGGAGAAAGTAAAGATAACTAAATCCAAAAAACAAAAAAACAAAAAAAAAGAAAAGAAGAAGAAAGTTGAAGCCGGATGGATCCTGCATGCATCCTCTTCTTCTCGTGAGAAATTTTCCTAAATAGGACTAAAACATAATGACTTTCCCAATATAGGACCATATGTTTTTATTTTCCAATGTAGGACCTTTGGTCATTATAAAGTAGTCATTATTCAAGTAAATATCCATCATTACTGGACATTATTCCTCCCACTAGGTCATTATTAAGTCTTATTTAGGGAATAAAAAAGTTCAAGTCCTACATTGAAAAAGTCATTATGTTTTAGTCACTGCAAATTTCACTAATTTAAATTTATAACCATTAACCAATGATCGACTCCATGAGGGGCCCATACCGTTCCCCTTTCCAATGCATAGGATCCTCCCCAGAACGGCTAACATAATTAATGGCAATTTAATAATGTTTTTTCTATTACAAACACATGCATATGTAACCATTTGTTAGTCGCCAAAAGCATAAATGCATTTCTTGAGAAAAGAAAAATATTTCTGGACACACATGCATGCATTAATATGACATTTCTTGGAGTGTTTTGTTGGACGTACTTCTCTCCCAGCTTCTTCATTATTGTATGTGTACGTACTTATACTGATTTTTTTTCTTCATCTTGTTGCTTGTTTTGGCACATTATGCTTGTCCTCTTAAAATGGGTCATTGTTTAATTTGTTTTCTACTTCGTACTAACAGTCTATTAGAGTACATCCTACATCGAAAATCGAAGAGTAATATAAGCGGTGTATGAGCTCTTGAGTTAAACTAATTAATCGATTGAGTTCAATCTTTTAATGTGGTTCACCCAATCCAATGATCCATACCACATCCTAAATTCTATCATGGTATCGGAATAGGTCCGGTCCGGGTTCAGTTTTTTCTGGTTGTTTGGATGTTGGATGCAGATTAACATAGCCGTACCATTTCTTTTAGAGGATTTAATAAGGGAGTGTATTTTTATGTTGATTTTCTAAAATGTCATTGGATGTGATGAGTAAAGTGGGATGCGATGGATATGTTAATAGTTGAAGTGTATGATGTGATAGGTACGTTAAGAATTAGTAGAATAAAGTTATTTTTTAATAAAAATGAGAAAGTTTTTTTTAGGATTGTTGTAATGTCTTGAATCTGACTCGTTACAGCAAGGAGTACGGGGGTCTCGCTGCCCGGTCTCGCTGCTGGAGGTTGTCAGTCACCGGCATTGACCCGTTGGCCACCTTAACATTACCGCCACACTATCATCACAATATGATATTGCCACCACGCTGCCATCACATGACCCATATTAAAGAGAATAAAACCATGCCACTCGTGCTTTGATATTAGTCAAGTTTTACATTTTTTGTTCCATTTGTTACTCACAATCCTTCCTGCATTGACTTTTAAGGAATTTAAGAGAAGTGTATTTTGGTATTGATTTTTTCCAAAAATACTTGAATGGGTGAGTATAATGCAAAAAATAACTTTGGATTTTAATTACAGATTGGCTCCAAAAGTGGTGACGGTAGTGGAACAAGACTTGAGCCACGCAGGGTCTTTTTTGGGGAGATTCGTGGAGGCGATCCACTACTACTCGGCGTTGTTCGATTCGCTGGGGGCGTGCTACGGGGAGGAGAGTGAGGAGCGGCACGCGGTGGAGCAGCAGCTCCTCTCCAAGGAGATACGCAATGTGCTGGCGGTGGGGGGCCCGTCACGGACGGGGGAGGTCAAGTTCAACAACTGGAGGGAGAAGCTCCAGCAGTCGGGATTCCGGGGAGTGTCTCTGGCCGGAAACTCCGCCGCTCAGGCCACTCTGCTGCTCGGAATGTTCAACTCCGATGGGTACACGTTGGCGGAGGACAATGGGGCCCTCAAGCTTGGCTGGAAGGATCTCTGCTTGCTCACTGCTTCTGCATGGAGGCCTCCTCCTCTCCAGCCTCAATAATATTTATATATTTCACTCCCTAAATATATATAATGCAAATTTCCATATCTCCATCTCTCTCTTTTTACCTTCATTACTATGTTCCGTTTAAAAACAAATTAAAATGATTCTCTTTTTTTTCTTTCGGTGATGATGTTTTTTGTTTTTTATTGGCCTATCTCATCTTTTACGGAGGACACCTTATATCATAAGAGCACGGGTCAAATGACAAACTTCAACCAATCAAAAATAGCCCAACCAAATAGTAGAAGGGGATAGAGTGGCATGTCCTACAATGGCAAGTCATTTTTTCATCCTTTTTATATATTTATGACATATTTTAATTATTAAAAATTATTATACTTATCCATATTATTAAATCCATGGTGTAAAATCGTTTTTTCTATTTCAATTTTTTTTCAGTAAATTTTTTTTAAACTTTGACTATAGATTACAAAAAAAAATACATTAAATTGTTATTTTGAAGTATAGTTTTAAATATTACTCCCTCCGTTCCGGAAAACATGGGAGTTTTGATTTTGAATAGGGATTTTAGGGTATTGTATTTTGGCATTGAATTTCCAAAAATGTCCTTTGATGTGATGGGTAAAAGTATGATTTGATGGGTAGATTATTAGTAAAAAGGTATGATGTGATAGGTAGGGTATGAAAAAGTAAGGGATAAAAGTGACTTTTTAATAGAAATGAGAAGTGTTTTTTTGGGACGGATGAAAAAAGAAAGAAGAAAGATTTTCAGGGACGGAGGGAGTATATTTTTAATGGTAAAAGTGTTGCATTGGAGATCGTAAAAAGTGAAATGGACACATGAGCCGCCCCATTTTTGAAACGTATATAAATACTTGGTAGTACGTCTGAAATTAAGGTGCTACTCCCTCTGTTCTTAAAAGAATTGTACTTTGTGTAAGACGAAACAAAATCTTAAACCTTTTCAATTTTTTAATTTTAAGATTGGTATAGACAAAAAATAACTTGCATATTTAAATTAAAAAGTATTCCATATAAAAAATTCTATAGTACACAACAAGAGGCGAAAAAAATATTTTATTTTATCAAATTTTCAATAAAAATCACAAATAAACAAGAATTGTGGGGATCTTAAAATAGTGTGTAATTCTTTTTGAGAGGGAGGGACTGAGAGAGTATATTTTATTGGACATGATTATTAGTAAAATTGAGCGTTTGGGGTTATGCAAACGAGAGGAATAAAATAAAGTATTCCCCCAGTCCCAAAAGATGTTCGTGTTTCATTTTTTGCATATCTCATAAAAATACTTCTACCTTTAATTTCTTAAATGTCTAAAATATTTCCAAAACAAATTCTACTTCTACTAACAATAAAGGAGAAATGAAATAAATTATAGACATTATATATAGATATAGGTAGAGGTGTTTTATTTTGGTAATACGCAGAAAATGAAACATGATGAACATCATATCTTTTTTAGACGGAGGAAATCTATACAGAGGATTCGATCTTTGTTTGAAAAAAAAATTGAATTTTTCTTTTGAGAAGATACATTATATGGAATATTACCTCAAAGATCACAGCACCTTGGAAAAATAACCAATACATATATAACAATTACAGCAACACTTTACACGTAAAGGTTTCCATCTTAGGGATGTCGCGTAAATCCAAACTATTCCGAAAAGAAGGTTTAAAGTGGGAGCGAAACGACTAAAGTGAACTGCACAGTTTGGAACATGAAACAAAGAAAAAAAAATAAAGTAGAGGAAGGGATCAAGGGAACACATTTTACCCTCTCAATTCCTATATAGGATTGTTCCAGAATAAAGTACGAGTATATATTATTTTCACTTTTCCTTTTTGTATTTTAATTGAAAGCTCCCTTTTTGTATTTATTTATTCTACAACTTTCAATTTACACTCTCTCTATTTCAAATTAAGTTGTTTGTTTACTTTTCACAAAGTCAAATTTCATTCATTTTCTTTTCTTATTTTCGTTGTAATTATTAGTATTATTATTATCATTATTATTTTAATTATTATTATTATTATTTTTAAAATAATAATTATTGTTAAATTCTATTGTTATTCTTTAAAAATTATTATTATTATATATACAAATAAAAATTATTATTATATAATAATAATAATAATGAGTATTATCATTTTAATCATTGTTTATATTATTATTAATTACTATTAAATTTATTATTAAACACGATGATAATAAATTATTACTCCGTATTATTATTAATTATTTATATTATTAACTATTTTTAATTAATTAATTACTTATTTAATTAATAATGACAATAATAATTACTATGGTTATTATTGTAATTATTATTATTTTTTATATAATTTTTTGCTCTCAATAAATCTGATCTGATTTTGATAATCATAAGAATAAGTAGCAGAAATAAGTTGAAGAGAATGTGACTTGAGAGTGGAGAATAGATTACGCAAGAGAAAAAGATTTTTGCTAGTTAATCCAAGGCGACTCTTATATTCTTGTCACTCCTCTGCACATCTTTGGATTTGTAGGGATTCTCAAATATGATGCTATCTCTTTTACTCATGCATTTTGTTTGTAATTTTAGGGGTTCAGGTTTGGTCTCCCCCCTTATTATTTCGCTCTTTCTTAAAGAATAATAAGTTTTGAATTAAAAATAAATGCTAGTTTATCCAGCGTTTGTGTTGGATCAAAGGTTAAATAGTCTGATCCTAATGAAATTTTAAAAAGTTGTCACAGGTACTCTTTTCTTCGAACTCCATATTTAACGGTCAGTTTCCCGTTCTGGCACCCAAAACATAGTTTTCAAGTAGCATGTTTAAACCCGTGGTTTTTGGAGTAAGTTTTCTATTTTTTGAATTTGTTGATTTTTTACTCAAACTGTTCTTAGGTTGTATTTATCTCTAGTGTTTATTAAATAGAACTTACACTTTTGGTTATTAGTGATTAGTGAAAATATTTATACCGTATATGAACGGATCCATGATTCTTCCCATTTTAAAATTTTCATATAAATCGAGTGTTATGTATTCAATATTTGCAACTATATATTTGTGTTGGTGATGATTTTTTTTTGTTGATAGTATTGAGCCTTGTCATTTGATTATCTGGGTAAAAGAATTATTTCTGCTTCCGCACCTATCTCACGGACTAATGTCACACACAAATTAATTTTCCATATTAGTGGAAATTTCCCATAGCAGTGCAATTTGCATTACAAATTGGAATTTCCCAGCGAGGCGGAAGAAGTACCAAACATGCTTAAAAATGGATGTTAATTGGCGAGTACATATTCCATACATGTGGATGTACTATATTTCCCGTTCATCCGCATTAAACACTCATTTTTGAGTAATTGATTACTCATTCTCAAATAACTGAATACTCATTTTCGTGCAAAATTGAATTTTAAAAAAATGAATATACAGTTACTCGAAAATGAGTATTCATTTACTTGGAAATAAGTATTCACTCTCTACAGGTGTATGAAAAACACTGTACAACCGGTTGTACGGTATATATTGCGTTATTTAGCAGGGAAGCTTTAGTGTAGGAGAAATGACCAGTACATCACCCCAACAAAACACTTCTTGCAGTGTTACTTGCAGTGTTATTGACTCTATTACAATATAATAACTTTTCATACGTACCTTCTCAACTGAAACATAGAAATTCAAGACCTTCGATGGAGTTCAAACCTGGATGAGCTTTCTCACCCGAAATCCTTAGGGATGGTCCTCCTGCCACTCAAGCCAAACACTTGTTTTTTTATCAGAGATTAAAACTTTATGTGCGATTCCACAAATAATTCGTGTCAGTGTATTAGTTCAAGATTGAGGTACTGTAAAAGTGGTGAACTTTTGTTTAAACATAGTGTGTTGTATATAAATACGAGGTTCTTTTTTTTGTGAGAGGATAATTGGTACATATTTATAAAATGGCAGGTGTGGGGGCGAAAGGAGATAATTTAAGCGCCATTTTTGCGGGTCCATGGCTTGATTACACCAATTACGACGATTGCTACAATTAAAATGAATACGAGTATTGCGAAACACATCCATTTCCTGGAATTCCTTTGTAACTTCTTTGCCTTCTGAAGTGCAGTATTCCCAGATTGTACATGATCAACTGTTGCATTCACCTACAACAATTGAGCCAAACATGTTGAAAAGATGACAGTAAAAACGGCCGATATTATCAAACTAACCAAAACCAGACTGAGTTAACTCGAAACAGAACTGCATCATATGGAATGTGATGTTCCTCTCAGACCATATTAGTTCAAACCAAGCTGAGTTTGGTTTTAATTTGGCAATCGATTCCCGGACCCAATTTAAGCCACAAATTGAAAATAACAAACCAAACTAGAGTAGAAATACCTGACACCTAACGCGAACATTCTCAAACCTGATATCATTATCCCACGGAGCAACAATCGCAGGAGAAATGAATTGAGTTTGATCAGAAGGAGAAGGCTTGAAGAAGTTTCCATTACCTGGGATTCTATGTTGTTAAGCATGTCCCCTTGAGCATCAACCAACACTGCCATGTCTAAGAATATCTGCATAATTCATTTATTTAATCAAACTATTTAGATTGCAACTGCATATAATACTCTCTTTGTATGGGCTGTTCCATGATTTTTTATTATATAAATACAAGCTTTTACGTCTTCCACACAATTTATTACGAAAAATGGAGTCAACCCAATTCTCACCCCGCCTTTATCATGATAAGGCCTCTCATGTAATCAGACTAGGATATCATAATGCCAATAGTGTGTGTACATTACCTTTAACACCAACTCCGCGCGCATACACATAGAGTAAGACATGAGCTTTGTTCTCACAGATGTCTCGTCTTTTTAACTATATTCTTGACAAAATATTTTGCCAATTTTTCTTGATATGGCGACAATTTTCATCATCCAACCTGCAAAACATCTAGTCCTAATTGCAGTTTTTCATGGTCCACTCTCTGATCCCTATATGATATATCAGATCTCCTTATCTACAGATTGTTATCTGACATTTCATCTCTCCTCGGTGAGGGTTTATTACATCAGCATTCTCTTTATCATGCATACGGGCATACCACTCATGAAAGAGATGACTCGTTACAATTTATTGGTGTCCAATTTAATGGGTACTAGCCGCACAACTCATATTGTAGTTATGTGGTTGAAAACTTTTTGAAATGCAAGAGAATGTGGGATTATGTTTCTGGATCATTTTCTGAACCCAAAAACTGATCATAGATATGCTGATTTATTAGAGCTGATTTATTAGACACATGGGAGGCTAATAATTCAAAGATTATTACAAGGACAAGCAACTACGCTGTGTAATCCATAGGTGTGTGGGTTGGAAAAAGTGCAACACTGCAACTGCAAAGGAAGTCTGGGAACATCTATTTGCACCATATTAAATATGATGATAATAATATTAATATTCAAGATTTTTATTCTCCCATTAGTAGTAGGGATCAGTTTTTATCAAATCTCTCATTATTACAGGCTCTTCAGCCGTGTATTGCTTGAAGAGAAGAACAACGCATGGTCGAATTTTTAATGGCACTAAGAGATAACTTTGAAGGCATTCGTGGAAATATTGTGTCATAAGTATCTTTCCTCAGTTGACTCAATGTTCAACAACTTGATGACCGAAAAAACTAGCCTCAAAACTCAAGCAAACAAAGGAAATGCAGAAAACGTGTTCTCCTAGCCCCAACTCTAAACCCATCTGTTTTTGCAGACCTCGATACCTTTCAACAACAATCTAAACAAACATATCACATTTAAAGCTTGGCGATGATGAATGTAATTTCTTCAGACAAAAGAATCATTGTAAATCTCAATGCCTAAAATTGTTGAGCCTCATTGTAAATCTCAATGCCTAAAATTGTTGAGCAGCACTCGACCTCACTTGAGGCCTCCTCAGATGTATCCACCTTAGTTTTCAAAACCAAATTGGAGACCGCAATGGCCTTGTCACTAGGTCATTTGTTCACTGGTTGGATAAAATAGTTATGAAAAAATGCATAAAAGTGTGCATATAAGAGGATCATTTTGAAAAATAACTCAAACTAAGGGTCACATCAATAAAATTAAATATTAAAAATTTACCAAGTAATTGAACATAATAAAAAAATTAATACTAGTTAGTTTCTTTTCACTTGACTCATTTACTATTCACATGATCAGAGTTCATGTGAATACTAGTAAGTTTCTTTGCCTATTTTTGTTACTCTTTTGAAAAAATAATATTGTCATGTTACCTCGTGTTTTGTAAAAGTTTTGATGTAGCTTTTAAATTTGGTAATCTTATTTTAAATTTTTTTATCAATTTTCAAATAAATTAATTTGAAAATAACTTCAATGAAATATCGTAAACCAAAATGGATCGAATACAAAAAAATTAGAATAAGAAATTGAAAAGGACAAGCGCTAAAAGACACTTTCTCAGTTTTGAATTAATCGTCTCACTTTAAATTTTAGTCCGACCCAAAAAAATTGTCACAATTATTTACTTTTCAAATAAAACAAAGAATATGTGATCCACATTTTTTCTATTTCTTCTAAACAAGTTTCAACCACTTACTTTTTACTTCTCACTTTTTGGGATTCAACTGAGTTGTTGTAGTTTTTACTTTTCAACACTTTTTAAAAATCCGGTAAGTCAAATTGTGTCAATTAATTCGGGAGGGATGGAGTATTAGGTTGGTTAACACATCCCCATAATTATTACTAAGCTTAATAAAATATTTGGTCAATTAACATATTGGGTCTCACTTCACTTTTAAATTTGATCCCAATAACAAAACACTTGTGCCAACGCCAAACTCCTCAATTCTTGGTCTAAAGTTCCCCCCTGAAGTCTAATCTTCATGTCCTAATGTTGGCATTCTTGCGGAACAATTCCAAAGGTTCCTGACAACATAGACACATGCCATGTGCCCATGTCAGCATCCTCAAGTATATGTCTCCCCTTTTCCTCACCCAAAGGTTTTCCTAAAGGTTCTCCTCAAGTATATGTCTGCACTTTTCCTGTGGTTATAGAGGTTTTCATCATATGTCACCTAACCTCACAGTGTTTACTTCATCACGAGCTACACCATGCCATTAACTAGAATTGTCTCAATATGTTTAACTAGAATTTTCTCTTTCAAATGTTTATCATATCCCTCAGCTTATAGTAAATCTTGTTCCTAGTGGTCAGTTACATCCTTCCAATTTTTCTGATTCATTTACATCTAATCCGTGTCATGCTCAGGATCTACATTCTCAGAGGCTGATTGGGACCTGGGGTCAAACATGGTTCCGGCTCTTAATTGGAACTGAATCCTTCGGTTCTAGAATCGTACCGGAACCAGAACTCTCTATGAACAAAAATTGGAACTTGACCCTTATATATAAGGCTTCGGCTCCATCAAATGGAAGATCAGAGCCGGCTTGTGGAACCAGAAACACTTTAAGGTTTTAGTGTAAAAGGGGCTGAGACTCAATACCGGAACTGTCGGTTCTGACTTCTGATACTTGCATATGTAGTCCACACCTTGTGCCATACTTTTTTAATTGCCAGTTTGGTCTATGTCTACCTCACCATTAGTAGCCCTTTTATTGCATATGTAGTCCATGTTGGATGCAAACAAAGTAACAGAGTTAAAGTATATTTTATTTACTAAGCAAAATAAAATTAAATAAAAAAGAATAGTAAAAGTTGGCGACTAGGACTAAGAAAATGAAAAACCAAATCGAATTCTTCAACTTGCAAGACGATTCAAATATGGTGACCAAGATAAGAAGTAACCAAATTGTTTCCTTCAATTTGGCGATGTGACTTCCCATGACGGAGAAAATTGTCTATAAATAGAATTGAAGCCATACATGGAGATATATGTCTTGTTTCTAAACAGCCCTCTCTAAGGAGAGAGGAAAGAGGAAAATATTCCTCTATCAATGCTTCTTCATTAGAGCCTTTTCTAGGGAGAGAAAGGAGAGTAGAAGGGAAGAAGCAACATAGAAAATTGTGTTTAGAGAGAAGGTTCCTCATCAGTTTTAGAGAGTAGTTTTGTTGGGATGTGCTCCAAATTTATGTGTATGTGTTTCGAATTAATTAAGAGATGTAAACACTGTACGAGAGCTTCTTACAATTTGTCTATTAATTCTACTATGCATTCTAAATATATATAACGAGTTTTTTTGGATGTAGGTTTATTGAGTCATGTTAAAAAATATTGGGCATTCTTGTGTTGTTAGTTTTCTCTATTCTTGAGTATAATATCTTAAATAGTGAGGAATGTTTTTCCCATGTAAGTGGTATCAGAGCTTGAATGTTTCCTTGGTGGCGTTAGATCAGGATAAAGAGAGATACTGCAGAAAGAGAAACTTTCTTCAGTGACAAGGTAAGGTACTTTAGTTGAAGAGGTCCTAAACATCTTGGAGGGTCCGTTAAAGTTTTTAATTCAAGTGTTGGTGGAAAAGGAAGTTTTACTATTTGGCAATATACCATTCAAGATCTTTTGGTGTAGCGAGGTCTTGACAAGACTTTAGATCATGAGAAGCAAGAAGGTATGAAAGATGCTAAATAAAGGGCTATCCAAAGAAAGGCAGTAAATGATACTCCGTACTATTAAGGAGAGACTGCTCATGTTCACCAGCATTGTCGCATTGGGGGATAACGATGATACAAGACGTTTGATAGAACCCATGAAATGACCGAGCGATTAGAGATCTCGGTTGGTAGCTAGGATCAAAAGTCCTCATAAAATGGTGTTCAGATGGTGTGTATGTATCCTGCAAGATGATTGGTAGATCAAATAGATTATTGTTAAAGGGGAGGTCATGATACGTGTGGTCCTTAGCTTGAGAAAAGTAATGTTGGGTGCAAACAAAGTCCCACATTCCTATATAAAATTATAAATACTAAGCCAAAGAAGAACAACAACAACCCAATTAAATCCCACAAGAGTAGTCAAAGTTGGTGACTAGGACTAAGAAAAAGAAAAAAACAATTTGAATTCTTCAATTTGGTGAGACGATTCAAATATGGATGCCAAGACAAAAAGTAACAAAATTGAATTCATCAATTTCGTGACTTAACATCTCATCTCAATGAAAATTGCATATAAATAGGATTGAATTGTTTGGAGAGAGGTGTTTTTTCTAAGTTTTCTCTAGGAAGAGACGAGAGAGGAATATAGTCTTCTACGAATGCTCCTCATGAGTTTTTCTAGGGAGAGAAAGGGAAGAAGAAGAGACAAGAAGAAAGAGAAAATTGTGTTGAGGGAGAAGGCTCCATATCAACTTTAGAGAGAAAATTTGTTGAGAGTATTAGAATTAGTTGAGTACTAAACACTTTTCGTCCAAAATTATACTGTCTATTCCAAATATAAACAGGGAGGTGTTGGGGATGTAGGTTTATTGAGAAACAGAACCACGTTAAAAAAATAGTGAACATTATTGTGTGGTTAATTTTTTTATCTTGCATAGAAAGTATAATATTCTGAATAAAGGGAATTTTTTCCACAAAAGTCCACAAGGTTAGCCAATTTGTTGCGTACCCTACTTCAGTTCATTGTGCATATGTGCTTTGTATTCTTCGATCAATACCTGTGAAGTAAACAATTCCAGAGTATTCTCTTTTTCTTACCGTCTTCCTTGAAATTATGTGTTTACTGTGATGCTGAATTGCTGAATAGACTGGTAGAGAATGCAAGTTCACTACTAGGTTCGGCACTTTTTTGTGATTGCCTTATTTCTTGGAAAAGCAAGAAGCAAGTTGTTTTGAACTCTTTAATGCAAGCTGATTCCCAAGTCATGGCTTCCACTAGTGCTGACATTGTTTGGCTTGTATGAGCTAATGATAGTTTACTTCGCGTTTAATACCCGTATTATACATATACATTAACTTTTGTGGCATCACTTAGCCAAAAATATTTTTTAAATTTTGGCAGTGTTGCATATTCATGTGAAGCACAAAAGATCTTCTTAAATATAGGATAATATTTGTAAAAATATAATGCTTGAAGTTTGGTTTTTACAAATATCTATTTATTTTTTCCTCTGTGCTTAATTTAGAACTCAACTCTACTTTGGCCGAATTATTAGCTAAGGTGTATATCCGATATGACATGCGGCTAGAGGAAGGGTGATAGAGTACCACATATGCTGCTATTTTATGTTATTAATATTTATAGTAGTCAGGGGTCATTTGTTTATGAGGCCAAATATTTTGTTTTATATATGGTAGTTACTAAGTAGTAAATAATGTGTAAGTGGGCCTAAATTCTAGGAGTAGTTGCTAAGTAATGTGGCAGTGAACCTTAAGTCTAGGAATAGTTACTAGATAATGTGGTATTGATTGCAGTTATCGGGGGAAGTAGGGGAAGGGGTAGACCTAAGAAGAATTGGGAGGAGGTGATAAGACAGGATTTAGGACTTCTCGACCGAGGATATGGCCCTAGATAGGAACCTTTAGAGAACTAGGATTAGAGTAGCTGGATAGGAGCTCGGTGTTGTAGAGGTTGTTTTGTAGTGTGTTGTATTTGTTGGGAATCTTTTGCTATTGTTTGTACTTGTTGCTTGTACTTGGTGCCTTATCTGTGCTATACTGTGTTCTCTTCCATATTTTTGTGCAGGTGGAGCCGGGGGTCTCTTGGAAACAGCCTCCCTACTTCCGAGTAGGGGCAAGGTCTGCGTACACACACCCTCCCCAGACCCTACTGTTGTGGGATTCAACTGGGTTGTTGTTGTTGTATAATGTGGTATTGTGCCTAAATTCCAGGGATTGGTAGTTATTTTGCTTCTATAAATATTGGGGCTCATTATTTGAAAATGTTATCTAGAAAGTAATTCAATATTTATCATTGGAGATTCTCCTTGGCTTTATTATGTATATGAATTAAAGATTCTTGCTCATATTCTGATAAAAAATTCCTTCATCTTTATTATTTATGAAGTTCGATCCTTATTTCATAATTTGATAGAGTGATACGAATATCGTATCGGATAGGGAAGAACTTCGAGCGTCTTCGGGCTCCAAGAAAGGGGAGGCAAAGAGAGAAGGAAAACTTCGAGCGTTTTCAGGCTCCAACCTTCAAAAGGACGAAATGAGTGAAGATTCTTGATAATTTCATCAATGTGATCGTAAAGTGTGCACACTCCTTCATCGTGCTCAATTTTGCCATAAAGAACATTCTCCAACAAATTAATAAGCTTGTCCAGTGTACAGGTACACATAATCAAAGTCTCTAACCATGGGAATCTGGCCTCCATTCATGATGAAAAATCGTGTTGCATTTTTGCCAAAGCAAAGGAATTACCGTATGGAAGGATTAACTCTGATTGCGGCTTGCTCTGCTTCTCTTTTTTTTTGTCCGACGGCAAAGAAAAAGGCTTGCAACAACTGATAAAAAGCAAACTGCAACCAGTAACTTAAGCAAAACCCATTCAATTTCAGCAAAGCCAATTAAATTGCTTTTGGATAAGGCGGCTAGAATCCCAAGCCCTGTCAAACGCTGCAATTTTTTTTTGTGACAAGAATTGTGTGGCAGGGAGTTCTCTGCGGCTATCGATCGCCGCTGCTCCAATCGACAGCTATCGCTCTTTCTCCGCGGCTATCGCTCTTTCTCAGCGGCTAGCTGACAGATTTGTTGTTCGCAAGGCTGGGGCAGCAAACTCTAAGATCAGGCAAATCGGCTATTAATGGCAATTGAAATCAAGATTTGGGTGGGCGGACTTATCCTCAACTTGAATCCAAATTGACACTAATTTGTCTGCGATGTTTTGATGCGGCACCTCCAATTCTTCTTCTGCTAGAGAATTCCTTCAACGACTGCACGGAAGAATTTCACTTTTTGTGGCACTTTTTGTTGCAGGCTCAAAGAGATCAGTGGATAGAGGAATTCACCCTTTTTTTAAGTGGAGTTCAAGTGGATGAAATTTGGATCGGTGGTGGATCAGCGGTGGGACAACAATCAGAGAGATTGACCTTGGATTTTTTGTGGCGGCGAAGCAGGTTCGTGGGGAATTTTTTTGTTTTTTTTTGGATTTTTTTTAGTGTTCTCTCAACGAGAGCACCAATTGATACGAATATCGTATCGGATAGGGAAGAACTTCGAGCGTCTTCGGGCTCCAAGAAAGGGGAGGCAAAGAGAGAAGGAAAACTTCGAGCGTTTTCAGGCTCCAAGAACAGAGAGACGAGAGATTAAGAGAATTCTTGATTATTAATTGCTTGCATAATAACGGGAAAGGATTACAATATATAGAGACGAGGGGATGGGGGAACACCCTAATTAACCTAATGGGCTCGGGCCCATACTAAAACCCTAAACAAGATTAACTATTGACTATTAAATGACTACTAATTAATAAATAATATAACTAATCTACCATCCGTATCATAGAGACTATCCTTCATTAATTCTCCCTGCCAGTCTTCAATTCTACCATTTGGTATCGGAGCCATAAGACCTTTATGGGTTCCTTGTGCAAAAAATCAGTTTCTCCATTTACTCCATACAATTTCTCATCCAAGAGTTATTCTCCTTGTGAAGTACACCAATTACTTAGCATTGTAGCTCGCCTTGATGTCATTAATTCCAAACAGGCAGCATAAGATCATGGTAAGACTGTTAATATTGTGACACCCTACGAAAGATTCACTTATAGTAACTTCCATCTAGAGGTGAAAGGAAAGAAAATTCAAAAACAGAAGGGTAGGGTTAGATTCGTTCGTAAGCCCAACCACCCTATGATTATAGCCAATTGCTTCAATTCCTCTCATCCAACAAGTAATTTCATAGATGATGACAAAGGGATTTTCAAATGCAACTCTAAGACAGTGCACAGTGCCCCTCCATGATTCTGACTAAAGCTCTCATGGATAGCAATCGGCAACCGCAATTCGAGTTGAGGCTGTTCCAATATGAAGGTATGATGAATATTGGTTGCCACTATCAAATCTCGCCATTCTCACTTACATATTTGGCTTTAGAAGGAGCCATGATTATTATGCCAAGTGCTGATGAGAATGCCTCCAGTTTGGGGGTTCCAAAACCCTTATATATGTGTCAACACCATCCTGGAAAATTCTACAGCATTACTGATAAAGCTTTATGAACCCTTGGATGGTGGCATCATGCAATGATCTATCCTTGAAGCTGTTATGTCATACTTGGACCCTTTCATTCAAAGCACCACTGCTTTAGTTAGAGTTTTTCATTATATTTTCTTCCTACCACCTCTACCGAAACCTCCAGATATACATACAGAGAAGCTATTGTCTAGATTTTGCCTTGAGGACAAGGCAAATTTCGAAGGAGGGGATAATGATAGAGTGCCACATTCGTTTATGAGGTGAAATATCTTATGGATAACTTTTACAAATAATGAGCCTCGATATCAATTAACTACCAATCCCTAAGATTTAGGCCTACTACAACATTACCTGGTAACTATTCCTAGACATCATTTACTACTTAGTAAATAACATACTCTATATGTAAAACATTTGATGACATAAACAAATGACCACAACTGACTCTACTATAAATATTAATAACATAAAATAACAGCATATGTGGCACTCTATCAAAGGGGCAGACCTAAGAAAACTTGGCACGAAGTGATCAAGGGTGATATACGCGTGAATAATCTTTCTGCACATATAATAAATGATAGGGCGCAATGCCGTTGTTTGATCCATGTAGCCGACTCCACCTAGTGAGATAAGGCTTGGTTGTTACTGTTGTATACCGGTCATACCGAATTATACAAATATCTATTATTCCACATTTAATACATGAACTATATTTAAAATTAAAAGCATGTGAGTTTGCTTATACAGTTATATAGGTGTATCCTTCATTGACCCCAACTCCTACGTAAGTGATAATTTGAGTTGCATCCATCTTGCACACAACTTTGTCTTCCATGAACGGACCAAGCAAATTGAGATTGATTGTTACTTCACTTGCGACATTTGCAACCCCATCTGTCTCACCTTCCATGCAAATTGCCAAAGACAAACGTACACAATTGCAATCTTTTGTTTTCTAACTAGCCAAATCTCTATGATCCCTCTTAATCCATCATGTGCTTGAGGAGAGGGTGTTAAAATTGTTACTTAAGCAAATATCTTAGAAGCATATTTGTACATTCACCCTCCTAAATACTTCCTTTAAGCTTTCTGTTATGTTTAGATACCACATTATTGTATATCCATTTGTATCTGTATGTGCACGAAAAGTATCATTACTAAACAAAAACTGATGGTGTTTTTAGTGTAATTTTTCATACCAGGAAGACATTGAGATTACTGCTAGCCAGACAAATCTCTAAAACCAAAGTGACTGTTCTACTAAAAGCTAGCATAGTCATTCCCTATGCTATCAAGATAATCAGTCCCAATGAAATGAATAACAATACCTGTTGCAAGTCTAGAAGCTTCTTTTCTAATTCCTTTACTGCATCATGGCGCTCTTGGATTTCTGCAAGGGTGTCCATTATCTGCAAATAAAGTTCACACAAATAACTACAAGTTGTTTCAGCAAAACCTACCCACTATATTCCCACACATTAGGGTCTTGTGGTTAACGCAGACCTTACACCTATCAAAAATAACTATAATTTGATTAAAAATGGAAGAATAATATATAAGCAGAAGATAATGGCAAATATTGCGTGCCTGTCCTTTCCCACTTTGTTCCCTTATAGCATTCTGGAATACTTTTTCACCGTTCCCAGTCTCTATCAACCTGTCAATTGTCTGAATACAAAGAGAATATGGTGCAATGACATAACATGAGTTACATGGCGTACTTAATTCTCGGAAGAAATTGGTCTGCTTAAAATTTACAGGAACACATATCTTACCTCTTCATCAGCTTGATTTCCCGTAACTACGAAATAGTAAAATGTTAGAAATGTATAGAGAGAGGACAGTCATGATGGTGATAATCCACAAATAAAGTTAAGGAATGTTTATAACCTGTGAACACACGTCTCTCAACAACCTCACGGTATTCTTGATTGATGGTGTCCCTTAAAGTCTGAAATGTCAATCAAATAGAAGAACTAAGAGAAGACAAAAGAATTTGGGAAATCCCTATTCCAATTCAGCATGAAAGATGAAGTACCTGAAATTCCATCATCTTGTCCTTGAACTTCTTTTTCATTGCACTGCAATAAATAAATTACTTCATTATAATTATTATGAATAGTGGTATATTAACTCATGAAAGTGCATTGATCTTCAGAGTCAAAGTATTAACATCATTTCCCAATAATACATCCACTGATCCACACTCATACTGGCTTAGTATGCTGAAATACAATTTAAACGTGATACGGAGCATATAGGCTTATACATCAAAACTACCAACAAAAATCAGCGACAATCAATGGGAAAAAGGAAAGATGAAAGTAATTTAAAACTTACATTGTTCTTGCAGATCTTGATCTGTCAATAGCTGATCCTTTGCCACATCCAGGTTTGTTTCTGCTGGCTAAATTCTGAAAATTTATAAAAGCTCAAAATAGGACATTAGAACTGTGAAAAAGGTAGTTGTCATTATTCTGTTATTTTTGAAAACCACCTCTTTGTCGATCTCCTCGATTTTTCTTCTTACGGAACGAGCAATTTTTCCAACTTCATCAACATCTTTCTCCATTTGCTGCTTAATTGCTGTAAATGATACCATTAAGGCATACATTATTACAACAAAAAAATTAGATGTGCATTAATTATTACAAATATATATTTATCATTCCAAATAAACAAATCTAACCCACTGTCATATTTGTTTCTAATTTTGTGGAGAAAATTTGTAAATTGCTAACTCCAAAACGGTATTAGTTTAATTTAGTAAGAGGCCCTGTGAATGGGTGCAACTCATGTATACAAATGGTATATGTTAGGACAATCTTGTAAAGTAAGATAAGAAAGGGGAATACCCTTCATTGTAGTAATTGGTTTTCAAAGCAGTTGAAGGTCCTAATATACTAATATAGTCTATGAACTGTTACAATCCATGAACAAAAAGCTTACAATTTACTTCAATTTATATGCTGAAATAAAAGTGTTGAAGAGAAATCATGTCAAACTTGATAGCTACGAAATTCCTAGATCAGAAAATGTACTCCATCCCAATCTGGATGTCACTTTACGGTTAACAAAATTTGACTAAAATTATTTTCAATTCATTTTAATTAAATATTGGTGTAAACATAGAATAAGGCTGCGTACATCAGACCCCCCCCCCACCCCCGAATGGGCGGGAGCCTTTGAGGTACTGGGGTAGTGTTGTTGTTGCTGTTGGTTGTATTGGTGTAAATTTTTAAAATAAAATTTAAATACTAAAAAACTACATTAAAAGATCTATAAAATGGAAGACTTAGTGACAAAAATAGGCAAACAAAGAAGATTAAGTTTGACTGTGAATAATAGACAATGACATCCATTTTGGGACTGAAGGGGTAATATCAAGTACAAAAAGTTTGAGCACCTTTCATTGCAGGAGCCTTTGTTACAACCTTTGAGTTCTCATGGGCTTCCTGTAAGACGAATAAGAAAACATTGTAAAAAATGGATCTTTTGGTACCTCATGATTGTACACAAGCATTTTGAAGATAAAAAAGAATCCATATCTGCTTCAGGTATCCAAGTAGTAGACTGTTTTCTTAAATAAATGTTTTTCACTTGTGCAACTAACTTTGCCTATGTAACTATGTTACATAACCAGTCTCAAGCCCGGATAAAGAGGAGGTTGTGTTAGGTCTCGGCGACCAACATAAAACTTTGTTGAATCTTCATGACATAGATCAAACATGATATTGCGCTTAAGCTAGGTCGTTGCCCGGAAGCAATGCACTGTATGGCTCGAGTACAGTGTCAAATGAGCTAGGGCCGCTGCCTCGCTGCCCAGGTGTAGTGCAAAATAAGCAAGGGTTCCCACGTTTCGGTGAACGGACGTGGGTAAATGAGCTAGCTCGCAAAGGTAAAAGTAAAGGTCAAGATAAGTTGCAATTTGGGACATTGAACATAGGCACACTGACATGCAAGTCTATGAAGTTGGTGGATACTATGATACAGACAAGGATCAATATTATGTGCTTGCAGGAAATAAAGTGGGTGGGAGCAAAGGCTGACTGCAAGCTATGGTATACAGGAAAGGTGAAGGACAGAAATGGAGTTGGTATTATTGTAGATAAACAATGGAAAAAGGATGTGGTCGATGTTCAGAGAGTGGGAGATCAGAACATTGCATTAAAAATGGCAGTAGAAGGGCAGCTTCTTCATCTGGTTAGTGCATACGCACCACAAGTCGGTTCAGAGGAACACCACAAGATAAGGTTTTGTAAAGATCTAGGAGGTGTAATACAAGGTATACCATTAGGAGATAAGGTTTTAGAGGAGATTTATACAGAAACGTGGGAAAGGATGGAAGTGGGTATGAACAAATCCATGGAGGGCATGGCTTTGGAGTAATGAACGCAAAAGGTAAAACCATCTTAGACTTCTCTTAGACCTTCCAGCTTCTTATTGCAAATACTTCTTTTCAAAAGCTAGACGAGTATCTTATATCTTATAAGAGTGGGAGGACATGCTCTCAAATTCATTTCTCTCTGCTAATGAAATCAGAAAAAAAAAATTGTACTAATTGCAAAACTATTTCCGGAGAGCTTGACCACCCAATATAGAGTGCTCGTTATGGATTTTTGTATCCAACGAAAGGTAAGGAGAAATCTCCCAAAGAGGAACCCAAGGACTAGATGGTGGAACTTGAAAGGTGATAAGCAAAGGGATTTCCAATGCCGTTCAGTAGAAGAAGCAAAATGAGATGGAGATGGTAGTGCAGAAGAGCAATGGTGTGATATGGCAAATACAATTAGAAAAGTGGCAAAAGAAATCCTTGGAGGAACTAGAGGCACTAATGCAAGAGACATAGAATGGTGGTGGGACACTAGTGTGCAAGAGAAGGTTAAGGTAGAATGAAGCGTTTCAAGGAGTGGTCTTTATGCCGTAATGCGGTAAATTGGGAAAGGTATAAGATGGTTAAAACGGAGACAAAAGTGGGTGTAATTGATGCAAAACTAAGGGCATATGAAGGGTTTTACCAGTCATTGGGTACGAAAGAAGGGGAAAGATGTATTTACAAAATTGCAAAGGGTCGAGATAGAAGGATGCGGGATTTGGACCAAATTAGTGCATTAAAGATAAGAAGGTGAAGTTTTGGTCTCCAATGAAAACATAAACAAATGGTGGAAGAGCTACTTCCATGATGTTTAATGAGGCACGTGCGAATCTCTCATGCTCTGATCGGCTACACACGAGGGAGGAGAACCAAAACTTCAATTATTATCAAAGAATTTGAGAAATTGAAGTTAAGGAAGCCCTAAAACGGATGAAAAATAGTAGAGCGGTAACATTCCGATTAAAGATTGGAAAATTTTAGAAGAAAAAGGCATTTGGTGGCTAACTAAGCTTTTAACGAGATCCTAAGATCTAAGAAGATGCCTAACAAATGAAGGAAGAACATTTTAGTTCCTATTTACAAGAATAAGGGGATGTTTAGAATTGTGGAAACTACAGAGGGATCAAAGTCAAAAGTCATACGATGAAGTTGTGCGAAAGAGTGGTTAAACGAATGTTGAGACGAGACTTCGGCGTCAGAAAACCAATTTGGTTTTATGCCAGGAAGATCAACTACATAGGCTATATACTTCATGAGGAGAATGATGGAGAGATACTGAAGTTATAAGAAAGATTTACACATGGCTTTTATTGAATAAAAAGGCATATGACAGTGTACTAAGAAAAGTATTGTGAAAGGTGTTAAAGAAAAAAGGAGTAAGGATTGCGTATATTTGTGCGATTAAGGACATGTACGATGGTGCTACAACGAGCTGAGAAGTCAAAGTGGGGTAAGACTTAAGAGGAGAATTTCCCATCGGTGTAGGATTACACCAAGGATCAGCGCTAGGCCTATATCTTTTCACACCTGGAAGTTCTTACGACCATATCCAAGAACTCGTACCATGGTCCATGCTTTTTGCCAATGATATCATTCTTATGGGCGAATCACGAGAGGATTTGAATGGGAAGTTGGATTTGTGGAGACAAGCTTTGGAGTAACATGGCTTGCGTATAAGTCACACTAAAATAGAATATATGGACATAGTTTGTAAGGCATCGCCTAGGCAATAAGGCACTATCCCTGGAGTGCAAGTTTAGCAACACAAGGAGAAATAGTAATATTGAGGTGAAAGATAGAGAAGATACTATACCACTAGTAAAGACATTTAAATAGCTCGGGTGTATCATTCAAGACAATGGAGAAATAGAGGATGATGTTAACCACAAGATTCAAGCCAGTTGGTCAAAATAGCAAAGTGCTTCAGGCTTTATATGTGACAAAAAAGTACCTTTAAACTAAAGGGAAAATTTTACCATATTGCGATTAGATCAGCTATGTTGTATGGAACAGAATGTTGGGCAGCAAAGGGTGAATACGAACACAAGGTTAGTGGCCGAAATGAAGATGCTTCGATGGATGAGCAGTCATACACGTATGGATAAAATAAGGAATGAAGATATGAGAGCTAGAGCTAGAGTGGCACCTATTGTAGAAAAGATAGTGGAAACTCGCCTTATGTGATTTGGACATGTGGAGAGACGACCAATAGAACATCCGGTGAGAAGAGTTGATCAAATGCTGAATAAACATGTGGCTAGAGGAAGAGGTAGACCTATGAAGACTTGACACGAAGTGGTCAAGGGGGACCTTCACGAGAATGACCTTGGTGCAAATATGGTACATGATAGGGTGCAATGACATCATTTGATCCATGTAGCCGACCCACCTAATGGGATAAGGCTTTGTTGTTGTTTTATGCAACTGATAACACTGGATCACTGCAGAAGGCCACCTTAATTTTATTATTATGTGTGGTTTAATTAAGTTTGTTACTGTTTTAATTAAATAATTATTCATTAAACAAAAGGACTCTCTGGTTATTAAGAGTCCTGAAACCCTAGGTTAGCTTAGTTTATTAGAACTTATCAATTTGTTATTTTGATCTTATCATATTAGTTTGTTATTTTGATCTTATCAGTTTGTTAGAGTTATTATAAATATCCCAGCTTCTCTATTGCTCAGATATCCACTAATCACATTCAGATTCTCTTAGCTTCTATTTCTTTTTCATCAGTGAGATACTTATTGAAAGAAGGAAGAGTTCTATTTAGTCTTAATTTAGATCCTGAATTAATTCTAGTAGGTTTCTATCATTTGGTATCAGAGCCTCATTACTCGATCCCTATGGCTATTACCCATGCAAACACTGCCCACTGAGGATGGTGGATCCAACGAGCAACCAGCAAATGAAGTTAGTCCGCAGAGCAACACTCTAGCACAAATTGCTGCCAAACTTGCTGTGTTAGATGACCTCAAGGCAGAAGTGACTGTCCTCAAAGCATAGGTCACAAGTAATTTTGGGAAGACGAATATGAAGCAGTATATTGACGATTCTTATGATGAAAATGATCATAGCCACTGCCAGTTTCCCAGATCCAAAGTTGAGTTCCCTTAATTCAGCGGCGAAGATCCAAGGGGCTGGGTGCTGAAGGCTGGAAAGTATTTCTGTTACTATGGAACATCAGAAGAAGATAAGATTGAGATAGTGGCCATACACGTGGAGGGTGACGCTCTCGACTTGTTCTCCTGGATCAATGCCGAAAAAACGCTCTTGTACTGGGAGGAATTCATCAAAATTATTGAAGAGCATTATGGACCACCAAAATACTTGAACCCAGACGAACACCTTGTCTTAATCAAACAAATAAGCTCCGTACATGACTATCATCAAGAATGGGCGAGAAGGGTTGCTTGCGTACGAAATTGGCCTAACCATTGTCTCTTGAGTGTCTTTAATGCTGGTTTGAGAGAAGATTTGAGGTCGGAGGCCAGAATCCACAAACCCAAATCTGTGTTCAGGCTTCCAGTCTAGCCCTTGAGTTTGAGAAACGGAATACACCTCTGCATTTCAAGATAAGTTCTATGGGATCAAGCCGTGGTGCTGGTTCAAATTCTACCATTGACCCAAACCCAAAGGTAAAAAACTTGACCCAATCTCACTCGCCCGAGTCACTTGCATTCTCAGGATCTTCAGGCTCAACACCAATGTTTCCAGTTTCGAGATTTAGTAGGGACGAGTCGATGAAGCAGCAACGCAGGGATAAGGAACTTTGCTATCAGTGTGGCAATTCCTTTAGGTCGGGACACCGTTGTCGACTTCATCCATTACCTTCTCTTTATGGAAGTTAATGAGGAAGGTAACCTGATTGAATCCCAAACACGTTCCCATTGATGGAGAGGCAAAAAGAGGAGGAAGTATCCTTGAATGCGATTATGGGGACGCCAACGTCCTCCACAATGAAATTAAGTGGAAAATTACATGGACATGAAGTTTGCTTGTTAATCGAAAGCAGTTCTACACACAACTTCATCTCTGAAAAACTTGTGCAACAACTTAAGCTACATGTTTCATTTGTTCAGACATTTAGGGTACAGATAGGAGACGGTTTTATCATTCAGTGTGATAACATTTGCGAGTCCATCTCAATTAAGCTTCCAAGTTTGACTCTTACACAAGATTTTTACCCATTTCCACTAGTTGAATTTGATATGGTTCTTGGAATCAAATGGTTAGCCTCCTTGAATACCATTCAAGCAAACTAGAATGAATTTCTGATTTTTTGGGTTAATATGAAGTGATATAAATTACAAGGCAACTCAAAAGTTGATCAAAACATTAGATTAAATTCAATGGTGTCTCTTAAGTTGCAATTAGGAGTAGAGGATGAATCTCCTTAGAATCTGGACAAGTTAATACAAGACTAACATCCAGACTTCCACCTTGAGGACAAAGTGGCTTTCAGAGAAGGGAGTAATGATAAGATCGGGATCACTGATACTAGAAGGTCATCTTAATTATAGTATTATGTGTAGTTTAATTGAGTTTCTTACTGTTTTAATTAAATAACTATTCATAAATAAAAGGACTCTCAAATTATTAGGAGTTCTGAAGCCCTAGGTTAACTTAGTTTGTTAGAACTTATCAGTTTGTTATTTTGATCTTGTGAGATCAGTTTATTATTTTGATCTTATCAATTTGTTAGAGTTGTTATTAATATCCCTGCTTCTCTATTGCTGAGATATCTAGAAAAGAAAACATTAATCACACTCAGATTCTCTTAGCTTCTATTCCTTTTTCATCAGCGACATACTTATTAAGAGAAGAAAGGGAGAGTTTTATTTAGTCTTAATTTAGAAACTGAATTATTCTAGTAGGTTTCTATCAGCAACTTTGGACGCTCATCTCAAAATAGTCGTTCTATGTTTTAACATAGGGTCAGGCAACATAAATCTGACCCCCACCCCCCTTACCTCGCAATGGGAGGGAGCCTTTGAGGCACTGGAGTAATGTTGTTGTATATAGATAAGTCATCAATCCTTATGTTGTTGATGTTGTGTATAGATAAGTCATCCATATAAGTTCTTTGTATGCCAAGTAGAAGTAACTGGCGCATTCATTAAAAATTATCATTGGTGATCCATTTTGTACATCAAATTCTTTTCACATTGTTCATGACATGGTAGGGCAAACTATATTTAAACTTAACAACCAGCTGATGGGTCTCAACATACAGAAACTAAAACTAAATGCAAAGACTAGTTTATATTCATTCATTTTCATCACCTAAAAGGTAAACATAAAAGCTTGACAAACAGTAACTGATATGGTTCAAGGTCAATGATGATATATCTGGGCTCAACCTTATCATGGTTTCCCCTATACCCTACACTCCCGGGGGAAGCCGAGGACCTATGTTTAAGCTATATGATCCATTTTGAAGGCCCTTAAACCCATGATCCTCCTCAATCCCTACAATCCAGAAACAACACCAAACCTTAACCATTCTCCCCCTTCTCCTTTTCATCTTGGCCGAACACATCTTCCCCAAAACCCTACCTCATTCACCCCTCAAGACCATGTTAAAACACACCCAACAAAACCCCCTTCATAACCCTTAAGTTGGTCGAAAACAAGAAGCCAAAACAAACCCATTTACCCCTTAAAACATCCACCCAACAAGGCCCCCACTATGTCCCCTAAACCAGCCACAAAACATCCATTACTTAACAAAACACACATGGCACAACTTTAACAATTTAACCACCAAATAAACCACCACACCACATGCCAA